CAGGTGCTGTATCCTGTTGCTTGGCCATTTTTGCTCCTTGCCTTAGCAGCTGCTTCTTTATTTCAGTAACAATCTGATGACAAATAACTGACCATCAGTGAATTGTTTGTCATTCAAGTGTTTCTGTTTTCAGCTTTTTCCCATATTTTCAAGTTCTGAGCTTAAACGCTATATTATAAAAAGAGATGTGGTGTCAGACTGCATTTTACCCACGATATACTCGAAGTATAACAAGTCCAACAGGCCAGGACTCTTGTGTAGGTGGTATAGGGCACAGTTGGCATAAGGTCCAAGGCCTATGATATTAATATTATTACTAGTGAACTGGGTACAAAAATGCTTCTACATTGTTTACCAATTACACTACATTAGTGTGTTCATATTTGAAATCAAAATAGGAGACAACTAATTAAATTCTGCTTGGAGAGCTGTTTTTTTTTTCACGTGTGCAGCTGAAGTCTGTTATGTCTACAGAAGGGAGTGTCTGAGGGCTCATGAGCCAGTGGAAAAAAAGGATCTCAAAAGCCGTTTGTATGCATATGTTGGACACATACACACAGGGAAGAAAGGGGGAAAAAGAGGCAATAAAGCCAGAAAATGGCTATAGAGACAAGTGAAATCGTCATTTTGGGAGAAATAAAGCATAAATATTGTATTTTCAGCACTGTGTGACACTCAGTATATCACAGGATCTTATGCTACTGTTAATGGATATTTCAATGGATATTTTAGATCTTTGCTGGTGTTTACAGAAACCTCCAATATTTTGCCTCTGGAATATTTCTTTGTTAGTGCTCTAAATCCACCCAAAAATACAGGTGGGCGTTTTTTTTGTTGGTTATTGAACTTTTTTTGGCTACACTTTGTCATTTAACTTTATTTTTAAATGCTACATCAATAATGTGCTGACAATTTTAGAGAATTAGTTAGTAAACTCCATCAGTCCACTATGAAGTTTGCATGGCAAAAGCAATAGTATATTTCCAGAATTTTTTTTATAATATGGTATAGTTTTCTGTATGGGACTAGAGGTCAGCTTATCACTGTCACTCACTCAGAATAAAGGGACCAGAATAGCACAAGGGAAGAAAAACACCTGTAGGCAAGAGGAAGAGTCTCGTGATAAGGAGATTGTGACATCCAAGCAAATTGTCACACAGCAGCATGTAGGATTTCTGAAATATCAGCTGAAAAATCTGATGCAAAAAGTAGCAGAAGGTTTACAACAATAGAAATGAGAGAGCACACGGGAAGTACTGCTTCACATTAGAGAATTATTTCTAGTGTTTAAGACAAAACAGGTATAGTCTAAAAACTAAATGAAACACTGTTTTAATTTTAAGCTCGAATAATGATTTGGGAATGTGGAAGAGGAGAGCAAAAATTCTCCACAGAAATTTGTTGAAAGAAAAAAATCAGAGTACTGTATTCTCATAAATACCAGTTTGATTTTCTGCATTCTGACATAACTGAGTTAAAACTAAAAGTTTGCTAAGTACATTTTTTACCAAGTTTTACTGTGGCTATAATGATGTTGTGTGACTGCAGAATATTTAAGAAACTGAGGAGAAAAGCATGATTTGGGCAATTCCACATCTCTTTATCTGACTTTACTGATATCAAAGTTCATAGAGGAAAGAATAATCAAACATGGAGGTTAATGATGGTAGCATAAAATGAAAGTAAATTTATTGGTAGTAGACTAATCTGCTAGCTTTGACTATTAATTTCATTTTTTTCAGTCCCATGAAATCTGTGTTGACTTCAGTAAAATACTTGATATTATGTAAAATGGGAGATTACTTATTAGATTAAAAAGTAGAAGAAACAAAATCCTGTCTAAAAGGAATATGACTAAAAAATTATGAAATTGTGATATTTCACCAATGAGTGTGTCTGACATAGGGTTAGGTAGTTTGCCAGATGAGAGTATCATTTGGTTGTCATCACTGAATAATCCTGAGGAAGCAGAGTAAAAGAAATTTGATAGCATGAAGTACAAGATCATGCATCTTGATACTGTAATAAGAGCTTTGGTCAAGAAAAAAAGAATGTTTTATTGTAAGTTAGTCAGGTAAGGTATTCTGAGGAAAACTGTAGAAATAGTAATGCAGTGTAATAGTGAGTCATCACCTGAAATACTATGCAGAAATATTTTAAAACAGAAGTAGGTGAAGAGGTTTCTGCAATAATTATGGTGTTGAAAAACCTGATTCAAGAGAGGAAGCTTTAACAACAAAGTTGTTATAACCATAAAAAGCAGACAGTGAGGAAATCTAATTATTGCCTATAAAAATATCAGGAGCCGTTTTGAAAAAGGGATATGAGAGTTTAGAGGATATAAGTAGGGGATTGTTTAGGCACACGTGCATTTTAGTCAATGAACAGCTTGGTTTTGTGGGCTCACTAATATTCAAAAACACAGGTTTTGACTTTGTTTCTAAACTAGCATGTGAGTTGCACACTTCAGTTTGGCTTGGGTTTATTTCTGAATCTGGCTTAGGGGTCAAAGTTTGGCAGGAGAAGAAAAAAACTCCCTTTCTTCTATGTCTCTTCAAATTTTATACCATGTCTTTTAGAGGGACAAAACGGGAAGGTTGGCAGGTATTTCATGTGATCTTTTTATGGAAGAGTTGGCTATATTTACGGGTTTGATTTTTTTTTCCATCTATTTTCACTAAATTGAAAGCTGCAAAGACAATAATACCAAGCTTAATAGCAGCATATTGTGAACTAGCCTCTCCTTGAGGAGAGTCTTAAAGAAGGAGAGGCTAGTCTTAAAGGAAAATATATCTAATAGTTGTGCACTGCTGAAATCAAAGAAATGTTCCATTCTTAAGTTGAAGAACAACCTAAGATCATGACAGAGGAAAAAAATACTCTTCAGAACAAGACTGAGATTTAAAGATTCTTGACAAAATATGTAACTGTTCAGTGTCAAAAGAACTGAAGTACTCGAATAAAAAATTGGCTTTGCTGGAAGCAAGAACTCAAAAATTTCTTGTATAGAACCTGTTAATTGGCTCTAGGCACAGAGCTGTTTTGTTGAGCTTTTTATCTAGGTAAAAGACTGTACCTGTTACTCAGCTACTACCTGCAATTGATGTATAGGATTTTTTGGTGGATTGGGTTTTTATATTGTTTTTAAACGTGTGTACTTGCTGTGTTTCATCATTTTGATATTCTGTAAGTATATCACTAATTTATGCTGTGAACTCCTTATTCAAGACTAATGGTATTGTGAAGAGTCTTATCAATAGTTATATTAGGCACAAGTTGTATTCTGTTTCTTAGCAGCTTTCTAAGTAAATCAGTATCTTAAAATTGTGTGTGCCTAACTTTCAAAGGTTTCTTATGACAGCAGAAGTATGACTTTATATTAAAATCAGGTGTGTTTCTGGAACCAGTGAAAACTGAAATGCATCTTAGTTAACATTGTCAGCTTCCAATTGTAGCTTTGCTTCCCAAGCAAGGCAGTTTCTTAACTACTGAAAAGAGCTGACTTACCTGGTGATGATTTGGGATGACTGGTTCCTGCATGAAAATATGCAACTCTAATATACAGTTGGGAAACAGTGCTTTTGAGTAACCAGAGACTTTTAAAAATGGTGATTATAAAGCAAATGAAGAGTTATAAATTATAACATGAACATATATTTTTATTCCCTCTTTTGAAAAATTGCCTGCACATTGTTTGGGCTTTTTTGTTTTCCTTCTTTTAGGTTGCATTAGCAATTTAACAGATTGCCATGGATCATTTTATAGTTGTGTTAACCTTTCTGCAATGAATGGGATTGTAGTTGCTATGCAACATTTTACTCTAGTAGTTTGGGGACTCCGTCAGGCTTCTATGAAAAAAGGATGTGTTCATTGTCTGTATTTTATATTTTCCATCACATAACGCTACTCAGTAGATGAAATCACGGATACACTACAGATTCTAGTAACATCATAGGGACACAGACTTTCTCCAGAGATTTTTTTTAAATGAAGTTGAAAGTAACTATATCTTTACAGATACAGTATATTATGAATAAAATAATTTTTAAAAAAGTAATTAGACTAGAATTCACAGTCTTCTTACCTCTTTATTATTGTTCCTATGGAATAGATTTAAATGTGAAGTTGACTTCATAAGCAATCGGGAAATAATTTTTTATTGATTGCACTAATATAGCTCTAAGATAGAATACACGCTAACGAGTTATCCTCTGTTTACTCTTGTGATCCTGATATTTTAATCAACTTTTACAGATCAACCCTTCAACTTTGCATGCATTGATTCAAATGTATGAAAGTTTTATTTCTTTTTTCCTGAAGAAAAAAAATTTGCACCTTTTTTACATCCTTCTGTAAATCCCTGATGTTTCAGCTCTACTCCTTTCTTTTTCTAAAGTCCATGAATTGCTCTGTTGTACTCTCTCAAGTGCTTGGCAAGCACCTTCGTTCTTACAAATTCTGCTGTTTTTTTTTACCACAGATGTTTTCAAACTGGGGAACTGAGTTTTGGGTTTCATGCATGGGTGTTTAATAGCCCCATTTTCTCTGTGTTTTGAGACTCTTCCTTCATGATTGTCCTTACAAATGTTCTTTTTTTCTGTTTTAACAGAATGAGATTGAAAAAAGCTTTGTGATTCTTAGAATAGCTTCAGAACTTGTCCTTTGGTTAATTAGAAGAGATAGACTGGCATTTGTATACCTCAGGTTATTTAAAACAGACTGTTAATTGCAATGCTAAACCTTAGGCATAAAGATAAATCAAAATGCAGCATTCAAGCAGCATACATCTAATCAGAAAAGGCAACTGAATAAGTGAAGGGAGCTGACCATTGTAGAGTGACCCTGTCGTTTTGTAATTTCTTTAGTGTGCTTTAATTTCAGAATTAAAAAATGTAGTATGCTGATTTGGGTAAGGTTTTAACTCATGTATTTAACTCATGTATTTTGCGAACCATGATTTTTGTTTAGTATGTTAACAGAATGAATGTTCTGTATTTTAGTCTCAGCAGAAAACCTGGAGAAGAGCCTTAAGCATATGGAGAAGCAACTCCAACAGCTTGAGAAGGATTTGCAGACTTTTCCAGTTCCTGAAGATAAGCATGATAAGTTTATAGCAAAAATGTCAATATCCTTTGGAATACTCTTAAAAAACAAAACAGAAGAAAAATCCCCAAGTAATTTAACTGCATTGCTTTAAACTTTAAATTTCTTTGCATAATTTCTGTCTAGTTTGTGGCGTGTGTTTTTGAAAAATCTAACTTTTTTTTCCCTCTCAGAAATTCAAAGATATGAAGAGTCCAATTAAAAGATTCCTCTGTAGAGGAATGAATGAGTAGAAAAATGCTTACTGTCAGATTTTACTCTGTATATAAGTTTCACAACTTAGTGAAAAGTAGTTATAATAGGATTGTTAAGGACTCTAGTGTTAAATTATTTTTTGATGTCAGAACATCTTAGAAAAATATGTCTGTCACCTTGTGTCTATTTGTGTTCTAGTGTATGGATTACCACTGTGAATGTTTTTGTACATGCAACCACAAAACCAGAAGATTTCTCTTATTTCAGAAATTGGATTCATAGCGCACAAAGTGTTTTCAGGTCTTATTTTTGCCAAAATTCCTTTTCTCACTATTTATTCCAAATCCTGCCACCTACTTCACTGCCTCTCTCTTTCATAAGAACACCCTGTGACCTGAAGATAATTAATTAAACAGAAAAAAACCATTCTTTCACTTAAACCTCCCTAGCAAATGTTGATCATATATGCTTGGCACTGAGACTAATCTGGAAACAAAAATATCAGCAGACAGATTGAAATTTGCTCTGCAGACATGGTTAGGTTATTACCTATCTGGAAGACTACTCTGTTACATACAAAGGCCGGGGGACTCAGGGCACAGTCCTCTTGATTACTATTAAATAAAAGATGGCAAGCGACTCTGAGGCCTAGTGGATATACTGGTCCTTCCTGCATCAGGGCCAGTTTTGTCTTCATTAGATTAGCTGCACCAGAGGCCCCAAGTGCAGCTAATCTAATGAAGACAAAACTGGCCCTGATGCAGGAAGGACTAGTGGTTAGGGTGCAGGACTCTCACCGCTGCGACCCGGGTTCGATTCCCAGCCCCCCGGGCAGATGGAGCTCGTCAGCCTTGTAAGGCAATCCATCTAAGAGAAGGTCACTCTAAACAAACCTACGTCCTGGGGACCTCACTGCCACTGTCCAAGTTTGCTTGGCCCCGGCAGATGAACCTCAGGATTAAAGGGTGGGCTCAGTTCAGCGCAAGCTGTGTCTCACCTAAAAAATCCACTGTGCAGGCTCGAAGGGTTAATGACCTTTCCCAAATCTTCGCTCGCGAAGACTGGCCATTATTATTATATAGATTAGCTGCAACCAGTGTTTGCAACTTAGCTTCAGGCCTTCTCTGGACAGTATGGGTTATCTTAACCTTTCAGTGTTGCTACTAATTTTTTGTAAGGTCGAGTATTTTGTTGTTGAGGTTATTCTGTTTATTGTTGTTGTTGCTGACTTTTCTTTACCAGCTCAATGTGTTTTTCCAAGATATGTTGTAGCCCACCAGCATGCTATCTCTACAGTATGAAATGCAAGTTTTGTTCCCAGGGAAACTGATAGCATAATAGGAGAACTAGGAGATGGAACCCGAAGGCAAGAGGTAAAATATTGCCGTGAGGTTAGAGGAAAATATATCCATGAGAGCTTTCAGAGAATTTTCAGAGAATAATGCTTTGTTAAGAAAATGGCATGTAGTCTAGGAAGTTAGAATGGGAAGGGCCTATTAAAAAATCTAACCTATGAGAAAGGACAGGCTCTTCTTAATCCGTTAGAATAGAATAGACTGTTTCAGTTGGAAGGGACCAACAATGCTCACGTAATCCAAAATGGTTTTGATGTAGGCCATAGCCATAAAGTTAAAATTTGGTTTTTGCATCAGTTTTCTCTAGGGAGAACTTCAGTTGATCCTACTGTGTAATATTTTGAATGGAAGGATGATGTCAAATGAAAGAATTAGTAGAATTTTTTTTCTTAATATAGAATAAATAGCAATAAATCCCCAGGAGTAACCAGTGGTCACAAAACACTTGAAAAAAAAATGGACTACAGATTCTTACATGAACTAAAGTAGCCCAAGACAGAAAGGAATCATAGAATACTTTGGGTTGGAAGGAACCTCAAAGACTATTTGGTTCCAACCTCCCTGTTGTGGGCAGGGACACCTGCCACTAGACCAGGTCAAAGCTGAAAAGAAGCCCCTAAGTTCTTTTAGAAGAGCTGCAAGGAGGATCTGCAAGTCCAGCTTCTCTACCAAGAAAACTGATGAAGACTAAATAAAAACAGAATGAACATATATTTTTTTGGAGATAAAATACGATGGGGGACAGTCAGTGTGTGTTTTGCAAAGAGAAACCACCCCTTGCAGGTCTATTATATCATGCAGTTAAAGGTAGGAAGTCAATAGAGCATAACTGAATCAAGTAAAGAAATTTCTTAAGTAAAAGATGGATTGTTTTTTTTTTCTGTATTAATATCTTTAAAAAAAATCCTCATGTCAAAGGCAGATACTGACAGATGCTGACAAAGCAGCAAGTAAACTTCAGTGATTATAGAGTAATAGATCTGGAGGGAAAACACTATATTAGAACAATTGGGAACAATTGCAGTTAAGAGCAAGCAGAAAACATTTTAAGATGGTATAAAAATCAACAATATTCTTACATCATCAGTTCTTCCATCACCCCATCTCAACAAGTATGCTGTATACCTGCTGATGTGGCAGTGAATGGTTGCAGTGAGCAGCAGTTGACAATACTTTCTGCATAAGGCATTTCAATAGATTAAAACTCTGAAGGTGGAAAATCAAAAAAGTTAAGAAAATACAGTAAGTACTTGTAATTTTGTATTCCATACAGAAGGAAAGTTGTGAGTATATTCATTGTATCTTATAAAGAACCAGGGTTCATCCCATGTGAAATACTGTTCAGCAGGTTAAGACATAGTAATGGAAATGTTTTCTTGGACAACAGACTGTAGAATTTACTTTTAGGATGTTGTATAGGCTGAAAACGTGAATGAATTTCATCTCAGGCTTTGATAGTTGGCTAAAGATTGTACATCAGAAGCTGTTAAGCAGCAGTAGCAGTACTGCTCCAGCAGTAGCTTTGGCTTAGAAGAATCAGTAACATGGAGACTGCTGGAAACTGAATACTGCATCAGTTGAATTATAATGCTATAATTGCCAAGTTTTCTTCTTTTTTTCCCTAATCATTGGGTATTGACTGCTGTCAGAAACAGGCAAGATGAATATTTGATCTTAGTTATAAGAAATCAGTACAGGTAAAACCAACTGTTAAGATTTGATTAGTGGGAGATGCCTCTGCTCAAATTAAGGTGCAAACAAAACCATATGCTAAAGTCTGTAATACAGATTTTATTTAGCAGTAAATGTGAGGTAGAGAGATAGAGAGAAATAGAAGAAAGAGAGGAGAAATAGTGAGAGAGAGACAGAGAGAGATTAAGCAGAGGATAGTCACCTCCCATGGATCCAGTTGTGTCCCATTGGTGGTAGTTCACCCTGGGCTTCTCAGTAGTGGGGGTCCCAAGGTCATTCAAAACTTTTCACTGTTTATACATTTTAACAAACAAAGGAATTAATGCTCATTGGCTACATAGTTCTCTTATTCTATTGGTTAAATTATTCCCTCACATCTAACGCTAATTAGTCTCGTGCTCAGTCTTTCTCTTCTTTTGAGTCAGTGGGTTTCTTGAGTTGATGGGTTGTGATTTCCCCCTGCCAGAATTACCCAGTCGGAGCTGATTTCAGCACAGTTGCTGAGCTGTTACAGTGATTAACTTACAGTCCAAGTTTCCGGTATCCACAGAGGCATGTTCGGGGGATGGGAGGAGGCTTTGGTGGTTGCAGATGCCATCTGTCCCATAACTTGAGGTGATCTTTGTTTAACCGGTGATATGCGTACAAGCAGTTGCTTCTTTACACAGTTTGCCATAGTGGGTATTTTTGCCTGGATGCATTACTCAGGATGTGCCAACCAGATCTTGCCTCCACTAGGCCTGGAGTTAGTGGCATCCTGTCGCTCCCTTCTGTGCTTATCTCATGGCAAAGTCCTTTTGTGGCCTGAACAGTGTTTGAGAGAAGCAACTGTATTAAGTCCTTACACCAACCATACTACATATTACATTGTATTAGACTATTCAAATACAATATTTTGAACAGTAAATATTATGAACAGAAATAGTTCGCCCTCTCCTACTACCTGACCCAGCAGACAGGCAGTAATTTCAAAACAGCCAAGTTGCATATGGTTTCTAGTCATGTCTGTGAACACACTAATTAAAGAAGCTCACTTTTAGAAAAACAGGAACTTCAATAAATTACGAAGCAGAAAAGGTTTGATGTAAAGGTTAGATAATCCTGCACAGCATGATGAAAACTGGACCTGTCTTTACTTTTATTCCTATGACAAGGAAAGCTGAGTGATGCTGATGTCTTGAAAAGCATGAAGCTCATGAAAAGAAACCAGCAGGAAATCTGAAAAAGAAAGGATGGTGCTTTGTTGGAAATAATTTTTCATCCTGAATACAATTAAGCTCCATGGACAAGCAGGCTATTACATCCTGTTGCTAAATATCACAACCCAAAGCCCCCTAATGAACTGATTAGCATTCTTGTTTCTTTAGGAAGTCAGACGTATGCACAGTTGGTGCACTCTTTTATTGACAAAGTCTGTAATTATGAATATTTTTCCTATATATTAGATTGTGTTAATTTGTCAGCCATCGTACGTATGCTAGCTGAAAAGAAATAATAGTTTTTATCACAATTCTTCTGTTTCCTTTAATTAGGAGCGTCAAAGAATATTTAATTGATATGGATCTAGTGTATTAAATCCATCAAGTGAAATGTTCCAAAAAAGCACAGTGAACAAAATACACTTGTACGTTAAAAATAAAAATTTAGTGGGTTTATGGAGAGTATTTAAATTGTGTATTAAAAGTTTAATTAAATTATTTAGTCAACATACTCTTTATCAGTACAACTCACATCTTCTGACTTTTCCAAGTAGCAGCTGAAAAACTCTTGACAACTTTGAGCCTATCAGTGAAGGTAGTTGATGGTGTTTTTTTACAGAAACTTATGGAACTAATTCTTGAGAGACAATAAGTTGATTACTTGCTGCCTTTCAGCTAGGAACAAAGTCTTTTCTTTTGATCAATTCTCTGTTCCTCTTTCCTTGCCATTTAATTTGATTTGTTGACATTGCAAAAAGGGAAGGAAGGAACAGCACTTAACCTGAGTCAAGAAACCCATTTCAACTGCAGCAAAGAGACTACTTGCTGCCCCCAAACTGTCGGTTACTTAATTGACCTCATAGTTTGAAGTTCCCCCTGTGCAACGTAATCAGACTGAAGTCTGTAAGATGTCCTTGCATCCTAAGGACTTTGGAAGATTACGGGACCTGAGCTCTTCAGTTAAAAAAAGGTTGTGTGTTGCTCTTTGGAGGGGGGACAAGATGTTAACTGTGTAAATTTAATTTAAGTATATAATTTTTATGTATGGGTCTTTAGTATCTGGTCTGGACTTCACACATGTATTACAGCTAACACTGGTTTTGCTTGTAATATATGGGATACAAGCACTGCGTGCAGCAGATTTGTGTAATACAAATACCTGCCAATTTGTTTTCATATTATAACACAGAGGTAAGTAGGAATTAATCAAAGAAAAGGTATTATTGAACAAGCACTCTAAACATTTCTAAGTGTTTCTTGAACTATTATATTCAGATACAGAATTTTTCTGTTGAACCTTGGTATATGTATATAAAAAGAAGTGTCTCTGACATGTATTTGTCAGACAATTGCAACTGTTTTCCCAAAACATGGGAAATCCTTAACAGAGACCTACAGCATTCACACCCCTTGCTCTTAGCAGGAAATCATTTGTTGAAATGTTTTGGAGTGACCTCGAAGTCTTTTTGAGCATGTCTTCAAAAGGTTTACCATGTTTTTTTGGAGGCTGTTGTTGTCTAGTGTAGTGGCAGTCTCAGTTCTCTTTGAAGATTCTGCTAAAATATATACAGCATCTATGCGCCTGCTAATCTTTTTGTCCGTATGCAGAACAGTATTCCTTTTTCAATTGTCTAGACTTAATATGTAGGTTAGTTTGTGAAAATATCGCATGTGGTGAATATTAGGGTCTTTTAAGGAAATATACGGTGGAGATAACATCATTCATTATCTCTTCTAGGGTAACAGCTGCTTTTACTTGGCTTGACATGCTGCACTATATTAGTATTTTAAATACCATAATGTATTAAAATGAGTATAAACTTCAGATAAACAGTTCAGTATGAAAAGATCTGTCAGAATATGCAGGACCAAACATACAGGTGTTAGAAATTTTGCCACAGGTATTACTTGTCTCAGCTCTGCATTGCTTTCCCGTTCCATTAATTAGCAGAATGATCCGTAGTCCCATGAGTCCAAAAATGCAGTCCGTGATGTGAAGCCACTTCAGAAAAAGTTAACAAATATCAAACTTCTTGATTTCCTTTTCTTCCCACCTGTGTTGCAGCTCGGCTGTACTTCTGTCTTCATTCATCCAAAACCAATGAATTGTGTAGTTGATAATGCATATATATCAACCTGTTCATAATAATTACAGTTGGGATTGCTGTACTCAGTAATATTCCCTGTTGTCTCCAGTTTAGCTAGGGCTGGCTAACAAAAGCCATATTTAAGGAGAAAAGGAAGAGGAGTTATTAAAGATACCTAAATTGAAGCACAGTCTCAGTAGAATGCCAAGAGCTTAGGGATATCCCATAATGCACCAGATGAAAAATAAAAATCTCAGGATTCATCATGTCTAGCATTGAAATACTAGACAGTAGAACATCTTTCCAGAGTGCCATATTTTGTGTTTAAAACTGTGCATCAAAGATTCAAGGAGAGTCACTTTTAACAGTATAAACTATCCAACTTATATGGACTCTTAAACATAGCTGTAATTTCAGCTGTGTCTTGAAGAATTTAACAGAAATTTTGTCTTTCACCTCCCTCACTCCCCAAGTGTTCTTTTCAGAACATTCTCTGACATTTACAAGATGAAGTTTATATTTTACTGATAATTTTAATTTTTTTTTCCTTCTTCCTAGAAAACAGGGGGAAGCTATTGGAAAGTTTGATATTTGGCACTTATACATAGTGACAACAAAACACATTTATCTGATTTCCCTTTATCCTTCTAATCTGTGGAAATAAGCAGCCTTGTAACTGCAAAACACATGTAGCTTTCCATAAGTTCTGTTAATAATCTAAGAATCACAAAAAATAAGTATCCTAAATTTGTAGGATAAAAAGTGAAACAGATGTAGAAATCCTTTTTTCTGGTTTCACTCTGTTTTTGTTGTTTTGATTTGCTGGTGTTTTTGTGAACTGCTGACATTTCTTTTGATGGTCCTAACCTATGTTTTGTCATGACTTGTTTCTCATACTCCTTTTTTATTTAATAGTTAGGCAGCAGTTGTAGACTAACTTCTCATCAGCTTTCCTTGCTGTCCTACCAGCTTTTTAAGAGTCTTAATAATTTTTAAGAGTCTCAGGTCTAAAGAGTAGTTTTCTGTGTGCTGTGCTATTCTCATCTTGGGCGCCAAGTAAAGAAGGGAGATTCAAATTAATGCAGAAGAAAAGTGGGCCCATAGCATCAGCAGTCTTTGAGCTGTTGCTAGTTAGTCAGCACAGGCAGTCTGAAGCTCCTTACAAGCTACATCTTGTGGAGCCAGTAGAAGCATGGAAAGAAGCTTGTACTGGCAAAAGAACCTTGTTGGAGAAAGTCTGAAATTAAATGTTTGAGGAGTGATGGAAGATGTATCTTCTTTAATCATTTAAATCTTGACTTTAGTTAGTCCTTTTTTACAAGACTGTCATAATGAAGGCTGTTGTGCCCTTGCAGACCCAGCTAATAGCCATCGTAGTGACCAATTAGAATGTTGTGAAAGTGCATTATTTCTCCTTTCCTGCATGTACATGAGAACGTTATTGTGTGACTTTCTGGCATGGATTCTAAATCACAAAAAATCCCACATAAACTTCTTACTTGATATTTTAAAAGCAACCTTCACCAACCACAAAGACATTTAATAGTGAAATTCAAATGGGATTCAGCCTCTAAACAAAGCTGAGAGAGGAGTGCATTGCAAAAAAACTCAAGAGTGAAACAGTTACCACCCAGCAGTAAATTGTTACTGTGTACCGGTCACTTGTGGGGTTCCCCAGGGCCCAGTATTGGGGCCAGTCTAGTTCAATATCTTTATTGATGATATGAACGAGGGGATCAAGTGCATCCTCAGTCAGATTGCAGGCGACACCAAATTGGGTGGGAGTGTTGATCTGCTGTTGATCTGGAGGGGTAGGAAGGTTCTGCAGAGGGATCTGATCAGGCTGGATCAATGGGCCAAAGCCAACGGTATGAGGTTCAGTAAGATGAAGTGCCAGGTCCTGTACTATTCTATTGGTGTAGATTTTAATGCACTTGATTAAAAATCCTGTGCTTCATAAAGTAAAGTGACCATGGTGCTTTTAATCTGTAGTAGAAAGTGTACAAATAGAGTAAATTCCCTTTTGCAATAGTTGAGGCAGGCAATTGAGAGTAAAGGTAAAATTGCCATTTTTTGTCTTTTGTAGTCTTTTCTACAGCAGGAAAATAATGGAACAGAAATATTTGTTTAGCTACCATTCCATTAAAGTAAACACTTCATGAAGTTGTCCTACATAGGGAAATGACTATGTAGAACATTTAATCTTTGAGCTTCTTTGGCAAACTACATTATCAGATGTCCTAAATAAACATAGCTTTTTTATTTAATTTGTGCAGTATTTTGATGCTATTTATAAATTGTCTATGTTTTGTAGATGTAGTTTTATTATTTTCACCTCTAATTTAATTATGTTGTATTGACGTTGCAAATAGCCTTAGAAAAAACATAAATATCTGATGCAGCCATCAGGAACAGAAATAAATGCATTGTTGTTAGGATGAAGTTCTTTATCTTTCATGGTTTTTACTGCTAATACTGTTTATCAATATTTCTATTTTTACTCTAATTTTAGTAGGAACTATACTATTTCTTGATAAAGCATTCAGGTTAATTATTGGTATCTGTACCTAAATTCCATGTAAATTGAAATTTATATACCTAAGCTTTTAGCTTCAATAAGGAGACGGTGATGCTAAGTAAACTGCATAAGTGCTTGAAGTTAGATTAGTTCCATACATTTCGTGTTGTTTCATATGAAATTATATGGTAACGGAATAATCTTTAAATTTAAAGTGGTTGAGATATTTTGGTGTAAGTTCTTGAATTTATTCATAGGCCTAATATACACAGTAAATACTAGAAAGCATATATGACATGGAACGAATTCTTTTGGTCTTCATTTGATGAAATAAAAAATGTGTATGAACGTTAAGTAAAAGCCATGTGTTTGACTGGATTTACTGAGTATTCTTGCAGCCTTAACAGCAGTGCACAGCTTTCTAGTTCATGCCAAAGAAGATTTTCAGAAACTTTCACGGATGCATGAGAACATGGAAAAACTCTATCAGAACGTGATGAGATATTATGCCATTGATCCGAAGAAAGTTTCGGTGGAGGAGTTTTTAACAGACTTAAACAACTTCAGGACCATGTTCATGGTACAATATGTTTATTTTATGCCTAATCTTTCTTATAAGTTATTTCTTGTAATGTTATGTAGTTGTATATGAATTTGGATAATAAGTAGTTTGTGTCACATCTGGCTACTTATGATTACATAGCTTAACTTACTGACTACACTCCTGCAGGAATGTTATATGAGCATGAGTTTTGTGACAAAATCCGGAGGAGTGATCCAACGAATGCCTGTTGATCTGTAGAAAGATTCACTTAGTCATTTTACCACCTACTCCTCATGGCAGGCTGATGCTTATCATTACAACACACTTAATTTAAGTTGCTTTCATGTTTCCCCGTCTTTTTTGGTTTTACTTGGTTGGTTGAGTTTTTTAAGGATTTCAGACATGTCTGAAGATATAGATAGGGAAAATTATTTCTTTCATAAATACTGAGAAACAGTTTGAAATTCATATGTCCATTTATTTTGAGGACCGGACTTAAACTGGAACCCATATTTAGCAAGCATTTGGAGCATTTAAAGATTACTAAGTCTCTTCTGCTTCAGAGTTTAGCAACTAAAAACCTAGAAAGCACAATCTTCAATGAGAAAAAATTTTTCTTGACAAATTACATATGCCAGATTTTTCAACAGGGGCATTGATTATGTTTTCCTACCTTGATCAATGCCTAATATGAAGCTCAATAGTCTGATTTCAAAATTACTAAATATTACAAAATAGTTATATTGCTTTAACTTCTGATGTTTAAACCACACCTTCCATGTAAATATTGTAGAATGTGAATTCTAACTGCTTAGGTTCATGTTGAGATGGAGGCTTTAAGGGAGTGGTTGTGCTTTACAGTAATTTTCCCATATTTCTTCTCTGTGTCTGTAAAATACCACTGATATTAACCTCTGCTTCACAGCAGTGCTATAAAGATAGATTAATTAGGGCTTCAAAACGGTTAGGTATTATTTATGAGCATGATAGAAGAAACCTTGAGGAAAATTAATAATTCTGTCTTGCAGTTTGAAGGGTATATGAAAAAGATGTGTAGATAAGGCATGCAAGCCCTTATCATTCAATGACACTAAACAAAATATTGAGTAGCTGCTCAGTTTTGAGACTTTCCAGAAAAGATTTTTGAGATGCCTAACATGAGACACCTGAAGTGTGATTTTCAGGATTGTTTAGTATTGGACTTGGTTACTGACAGAAGCTAAAAGTGATTGTTATCCTATAAAATTTAGTTCAAAAGACTTGTAAATTTAATGCTGAAAAATCATTGATTTATTAAAAAGTCCAAAACTAAAAGGCCACTTATCACCAGTAGGTGTGGGAAACTGAAGTTCAGTCATCCTTGTTGTTATACAAAGTTGATGATTTACGTAAAGTATTCACTTACTTACAATTCTTCTTTTTTTATTCTTAATTAATGAAAATATTTTAAAAGTTTTTAAAAAGCATGTATAAATCTGAAGCCATAGACTTGTGTTTCATAGCTAACTTTGGACTGCAATTTGTACTTCAGTGTTATTTGGCAGCTGTGACAGCTATTATTTGCACTCTCTGAACACCAAATGGAGAGTACAGTTAGTCGGCCAGATCAAAAAAAAGGGTGAAGCATTTTACCTTCAGTGCTTTAACTTCTGAAGCTAAATTCCTGGTACTGTCAGTGGAACATCCTAGGTATCAGACATCTCTGTTAACCTCCCTCTATGCTTTCACAGCATCACAGGGACTGCTAACTAGCTCATCCCTTTCCTTGGAAGGATAGCTTTCAAGATGAAGCAATTGTTTGTCTAATGCTTAGAATTTTTCTGCAGTTGTAGGAAAGGGAGTGAAGAGGCCTTGAGCCAACAACTCTTCTGTCCAAGACAGTACACTAATCATAAGACTGTAGAAACCCCTTGCTCCTGTTGACACTAGGTTGCTCTGCAGCAGAAACATGACTTCAAGAACCAGAAGAGGAGCAACCAAGTAAGAGTTTGTTCCCTAAACTCTATTTTTCTTTCATATGATGCAAATACTTAAACAAAAATTAGAGACAACACTGGAAAGCACATGAGGGAACCCAAGAATTCTTCCATCTCAGAAAATCCAGGCCTTAGTATGCCACATGTTTTGTGTTGAAAACACATAGAACTTGTAGGATAGGATTTGGCTCTAGAGCATAGACCTCGAAACATTGGCATCTCCATGTGAGTTTGAGTGTCTAATATTGTGTTCTAGTCCAGGGAGATGCATACTTAATACAGTTAGTGAAATTTGAAGAGCTGTCTACCTGATATCTCAAAGGAGAACTAACACCAGAAGTGCTTAGTACCCTGGAGAGGTGTCTTAAATGGTACCCAAGACATCATCAGCCTGAAATTTTAAGCCGTGACATAGAATTTGTGGAAGATCACTGTCCTGCTAGAGAAAGGCTGGAGGCAAGGTGTGATACACCAAAGCTTCCAATTTGCACTGAATATGAAGGTGTGAGCTACAAAATCAAGCCTACTTGATCAGTGTGATTGGAAAGAAGAGATACCTACATTTGAATGACTGCAGTCTGAGGCTGAGTCATACTGGTATTAATTTTGGGGAAAAAGTAGATGCAAAGTAGAAATTTCCTTGGCCACTCTGTCAGGAAAGTGTGTAATTTCTTCCAGTATTTACTTGTGCTCAAGACCCATTTGAGTTTTACCCACTTGTTTATTCTACAGAATGCCTAGTCTGAAAATCAGCAAAGAATTTGTTAAAAATAATTCAATCAAGAATTTTAGCATTTTGTAGTAGGCTTCTTGCCTCCTCCCCCTGTATCAAGAAATTTGACAGATTACTTTGGAGAAGACTGTGTGAAAGTACAGTTTTGCTTTGTGTAAAAAAGTCCATTTCATTGTCATTTTTTTCATGATGGGAAGTTTATTCTCCTTCAGTTATCCAAGATAAGTATTTCTTCACGAGTTCTATTTGATATTTTTTTTCCCCCTTCTTATGGTCACTATCTATTACAGTGATAATACAGTGCCCCTGGAAATACTGCTGTAAATCCACATTCATCTGTGCTATATAATAATCTTCAGTCCATTCTCTAGTATTTTTTTTCTGAGTGCAGTCTGGACATTTTCCTGCTAAAAACAACATGTGAGACATTAATTATCCCTGCAAACATGCAGCGTGTGCCTCAGACCTTGTGAAGATGCTAGCCATTTTGTAGGTGGGACCACTTTGATATATTGTGGAAGACGGGATTCTGTGTAACTGCGTCCTGAAAAAAGAAACTTTCTACAATGAGAATAGGTGCACTTTACATATAATGCAAATGTAAATTCTTAGAGCACTGAGAATTTACCAATGTACATAGCTAACACTAAAAGAATGAAAAAGTAATCCAAAAATACTTTTGTTAAAAATGTATTCAATGTGACACAGTTCTTTTGCTTAATGTCTGAATATGCAAAATTATGATTTAAAAACTTTGAAACTCATAGTTCTCTTTTGGCTTCATTGGAGGTTTGGGAGTCCTTATTTATAATTCAAAATAAACAATATTTCATGGATATTATCCAGAAGACAAGAATTTATAAACCCAGTGAATTAATGCATATGTAGATAAGAATAAGAAAAATGCAACACTGTCACCCAGACAGCCTTGTTTTGCTTGCTCTAGTGGCTGCATGGGAAAGAATAAATGTTGAAATTATTCTAGAAATACAAATACTAGCTGCTTACAATTTTGTGAAACAAAGTGGTTTAGATGTTTTGAGTTCTTCCTACATGTGTATTCTTACGATGTGTTTCTTGCTGAATGTATAATCCTTATTTGGGGGCAATTAGTGTGCTTTTAATATATTTATTCTGAATTTCCTTACTCTTCTGAATAAAATGTACTAAACATGGAATGTAAAATATTTATTTGGTTTGATAAATTATGATTAGTTAGGAGATGAGATTTGAAAGCTTTTTTCTTTAAGGTTCAGCTTTGGTTTTGCTAAGACTTCAGTTTTCATGGAACTCTATATTACTTTTTTTCATAGCAAGCAGTAAAAGAAAATATGAGAAGAAGGGAAGCAGAAGAAAAACAGAGACGTGCTAAAATAGCTAAGGAGAAGGCAGAAAAAGAAAAACAAGAGAGGCAACAAAAGAAAAAGCGCTTGTTAGAAATGAAAACAGGTAAGTGACGTAGAAAATACATTTTACCAAGCATTTTACTGGAAATAAATCTGCTATTTTTTCATTATCTGAATGTGCTATGAGAAAAAACAGAATAGATGAATGATTTTTTACTGGTTAAAGTTTTCAGCAAAGAAGTTCTTAGATTTTATATTGTTAATGAACTTTCCTAATTACTAGTTTTTCTCAATTTATTTTATAATGCTGCCTTTTATTTTTCCGTTGGAATATATTGAACCTTGTGTGACTAAGTATAAGTTCGGTTATGCTCAGAATCCTTTTTTACCTGAGAAAAGACATTTTCAAAATCACAAAGCCATTTTCTTTGACTAAGGTTGCATACACGTTTTTGTTCTTTTATGAGAATAAGCCCTTCCTAAAGTGCTTTGTATTTTTCTTTGAGTATGTCAATTGTTATTTCAACAGATCCCTATTGAAACACCTCAAAAAACTCCTCAGCCATGCATTTTTAAAGTTACTCATGCTATATTTTGTATTTAAAGAGGTGGCAGATACTGTGAGAACTCCGTTACTAAAAAAGATGCCTGATGATCCTCTATACTTCTGTATTTTATCCCATACTGAGCTTCTGTAATCCTTCAGAATGATACATGTCTTACTGTATAAATTACCATGAGCTACTCTTTTTTTTCCTGAGCAGATCTTGTTAAACAGTTCCCTACTCAAGCCCTGGCTGGCACCTTTGGCATAAATGATTATCTGTCTCTTCCACTTTTCACTAACAGCCAGAGTAGGTCTGTTTAGTTTCAGAGATGTTTCAGACCAAAAGTCTTTGATTTATTTTTGTAAGACTATCCATATCTTGAGGTGTGAGACTAGAGCTTTCTCTTAAGGTGGGAAATCAGGCAACTGCTCTCTGAACACAGAATTTCTAATTCTTTAGAAGTACAATTCAAGACCCAATCAGAAGACCACCAGTGACAATCTTTTCAAAGCTAACAGAAGACAGAGGACATCTGCAGAAGACTAGGAAAGGGTAAAACTGGTATCTGCATTCATGCACAGTTGGCAGTTTCAAAAGAGATTTCTCTCAGACATGTTGTATGTATGACTGATAGCGCTTTGAGTGGAAAATTGATAGTCTTTCAGTGAAAGTTAAAGCTACCCTCAAGTCCTGTTCTTCATAATGTGATGTTCAGGCTTTCCAGAATACAGGTGCCAGCGTTAGACACTTCTGCGTCATATACTCGCATGTATACGTAGGCTTCTGGTAGTGAACCTTACCACTTCAGCTAATGTGCCAGGGAGCACACAAGCCATCTTGTCTTTAAGTAGCTTGGGTTTTTTATTAAATCATGTAAGTGTACATGTTCTAGGTTCGTGAGGATTCCCAAAATCACAAACACTGAGACACGAAGTGTATGAGCAAAGCAACTTTATTCTATTACTCACAATAGCAATTAATACACACCGACCCCTGGATTTCTGAAAAGCCGGTGAGCAGGAGGACATGCAATATGGTGCTCGGTGGGAGAGGCAGGCAGGCCACGCACCTTCAGGGCGTCCCCTGGATCAAAATCGTGTCCATCTCACCCATCCAACCCAGAACCATCTCTCATATCCCCCTCACAGGAGTGGAATTTTCCAATTGTGACATTGGCTCACATGTGGCCAGCGCGCAAACCGAGACCACAATGGTTTATGACACCAACTCCGTGCCAACAACGGCTCTCTTGTTTCTTCTTCTAAATGTCAAGTTACCACCAGTTAACCTAATCTTTTGTTCTTCTTTCCAAGGTTCGGTTCCCAACCGAAACTATACAATATTTTCCCATGCCATATCGATGAGCACAACCACAGACCAACTATGGCAGGGCCTCAGACACGACTCAGGTCCCTGACACTGTACAGAAAGAGGTTTCTTGGTCTTGTGAGTAGCCACTCAAAGTTCAGTCTGGAATGACTGATCTAAACATCAGAGTAAAAGATGATGTTAGGATCACCTCAAGCTATAAATGCCTCGAGTCTGATGTTCATTAAATTGGCTACTGATAAGTTGTAAGGTTTCTTGTACCTATTTGCAACACATTTTTAAAAGTCTATTAGAAAACCCAAATTGTGGCAGCAGAAAGGACAGCAACAACAGCATGAAAAGTGGGATTGTTTTTTTAATTATTATTATTATTATTTTGACAACCTTACCAGAACTGTATTTACAGTATTTAATTGAAGAGGCAGGTTGCTATGATTCTTTGGAGTAACATAGACAATCAAAAAAATCCCTCCTCCCTTTTTTTCCTAGCTATAACTAGGTCAAGGAAAGGCTTTTTTCTCATTAAGAATCTGTAAATCAGTCACAAAATGTTTATATCTGACCTGCTAAAAAATTCATAACCAGGTCCTCCCTCTGTAAAAATACCAAAAACTCTTATCTAGAGTGTGACTGTGGAGTAACTGGATTTTGCTGCATATTATTTCTTGACATGGTGACTGGATCAGATGTTGGATCTGTAGAAACAGTATTTCAAGTATTGCTTGAATAAAGCAGCTGAAAACTCACTGATGTTACCATCCCAGAAATTATTTTCTGGGTTTCAAACAGTTGCATACTTGGAAGAAGAGAAAAGATTAGATTATATATGCTAAATGGTCTTCAATATTTTTTTTTCTCAGTGGACAGATCATAGCGTACTCTACATCTCAACTTTTTTTTTTCAGTAACATGGCTTTTTAACTGAAAATGACCTGAAAGTTAGGAGTGGCTGTGTATCGCTGTGCTGTGTACTACTTTGGAGTTTAACTGTTTTTCTCTTTTTTTAAAATACCCCAAGAATCAGCAGCAAGAAGAAAAAAATCAAACAAACAGCTAAAATAATAATCCAAGAATAACCCAACCACACTTTACTGGACTTGACTGAAAGTCATTAACAGCACTGGTTTTGCTAATATCTTACTCCTGTGCATTATTTGTCATTGTCACTATAATTAGTTCTTGCTATCATTCAATCAATCAGTACCACTACGTAGTCAAAGCCTGAACATCTGTGTCCTAAGTTTAATGTGGATATAAAATTCCATGGAGTTGATACTGTAGTGTTGGCAGTGATGGCTACCATTGATGGTCCTAGTTGACAGATGACATAGTGAAATTTGAGAGGTCTTCTGCAAAGGAAGCCAGAACTGAAGCAGATATATTTTTTCTTCTCTACCATCTTCGCTTTCCTTCCCCACACATAGTTTGGGATCTTATTCTTTTACAAAATGGTTTAGATGACAGGATGCAAAATGCTTCAGGGAGTGTTAATTCTGCAGGCCACAGCAGTGCCTTTGATTTGCTCTTGCTTAGCTGCTGCTTCTTTTCTTAATGGAAAAGCAATCTTTTTTTCACAGTGCTTGAGGTTGTGCTTTATTTTTCAGTGACCATTAATTAACCATTAGTGACTACTTCATGACTCTGGAGCTTCTGCTTTCAGAAGTTACTCAATGACTTTCAAGTCCTGAGCTGCTATGTAGTGCTTAAACAAGATTTGTATCATCATCCCAAACTTGTTTTGTTAACCACTGGTCTCATGTGCAACACAGACATTTAACCTGTCCTAGATTTTGCTTCATTCTTGAAGTTCTTTTCTTTGGGTTTCTTCATCTTTTATCTGTTTTAGAAGCTATTTGAAGAGCAGGGATTTGTTGCCTATGGTGCGACCTTTTGCTGCACAAGGTGGAGGAAACTGGGATTCATTTCTTTGCATAAAAGTGACCTACATAATACTGCAAAAGTTTTTTAGTTATTTGGGGGGTATTGCTGTCTTTTTTTGCATTTACAAAAACTTAATATAGAATCATAGAATGTTAAGGGGTTGGAATGGATCTTAGGGATCATCTAGTCCCAACTGCCCTGCCACTGTCAGGGAAATCCCCAACTTAAGGAAATATGTAACAAAATATAAATTTTATTAAAATATACACAATATGTGACTTGCATATTATAAGTTGCATATAGCATGTTAGGACTGTGTTAAACCAGGTGTGACTGACATTACAAATATCGTATTAACCCAAAAAGAAAATGGATCTGGATTTAAGGTATCTCCTGTGTTTGAGCTTAAACTAATTTCTTCAGGTTGAAAACAATAATTTCATTAGTAGTAACTGACATTTACTTCAAATATGAGGTGGTTCTACAATATACTGGCCTTCTCACAAATGACAGTAGTCTTTCTTAACCTATGTTGTGCCTTTGATACATAGATTGACAACTGAGTCATCTAGATCATAGCCTGTGCTTTATCATCCATACCTCTGCATTAGGCTGCCTTTGAAATACTGTTACACCGAGTCTGGCGTTGATATAATCGTTTTCTAAAACTAGATAAATATGTGTACTTTGTGATAAGTCTTCATAAAGTTTTAAGTTCAATTCTTTTATATTTAAGATATAAATATATCAAAATTTTGTAGTTTGTCAAATGCGTAATTTTTTATGAATATGCAGTACAGAATGTTTTAGAAAAACCTTAACATTTTACAATATAAATTAGGACTTCTGCTAATAAGACCATAGATTTTTGCTATTATATGAAATCGTTTTACTTGCTCTTTGCAAATTTTTTTTGAGATTTAGACCTGAAACCGTTGTCAGATTTACATACCTCTAAACTGTAGTTTGCTAAAATCCTCTATCTCTACTTTACATTTAGCAACACTTACATGTCCTAATGATCACAGCTCAAATAGTTCACTGATAAAAACAGCTTTGTCTTTAGTTGACATAGTAAAAATATCAGCTTCATATTTTCCTTTCACCTCCATTCTAACTTAAAAAGTATGTGGAATCAGTAAACATTTTGACTAAGTAGTGAATGATACTTGGTATTTTGAAATTTATGGTAACAAAACCTGTCCTCTAAATATTCTCCAGATTGCAAAATGATATTCATCATGAGATGCTTTGTCAGTAAGATTGCTTTACTTGCTTTTGTGAATCCAGATCAAACGATCACACACTGTCCTTCTAAAGGTAAATAGCCAGCGGAAGGGGATCT